GGCGCGGGCGAGGGGGACGCGCCGGCGCGGCTGGAGCTCAGCCCTCAGGGGTCACAGCTGGGGGTGGACGGCGCGCTAGCGGGCCTGGAGCCCGAGGGCAGCCTCCCCGAAGCAGTGGAACGGGCTCAGGCGCAGACAGCTGCCGCCGCGCGCGGGGCCGTGGTGTTAACTGCGCCTCTGCGCGGAGTGGCCAGCGGTGTGACTGCCGTTGTGCGTGGGCAGAGCCCCACTCCTCGGCGTGAGGGGGTCCGCAGGCCTCCTCCCACTTGTGCAAGGAGGGAAGCGGAGCGCTGCTCTTGGCCTGCCGCGGCCAGTTCTCTCTCCTGCTGGGGCCGGACTCACCTACTCTCCTCTCTCCTATCCTGACATCCTGAACCCTTGTCACAAGGAAGGTGAGCAGAAAAGAGGCAGCCCGAGAGGCCTAAGGCTGAGGTCCTGACTCCCCACAAGTACTCCTCTCTGCAGAGCTGGGCCTTCGGGGTCTGGACTTCTCCAAGCATTCTACTCTTCCCCAGCCATGAGCAGCAAGGGCCCTTCACTCCTGGCTGGGGTGCACACGGCTGAGAGAGGTAGTAAAGGAGGAAGGAAATAATAAAAGGGGACTCCAGAGAAGGAAGCATTCCAAGGTTGGAGAAGGCCTGAAGTGCGCCAAGGAGCCCCGGAGCCATGACAGTTTACTGCAGTCCTGGACCCAAAGGAGTAGGCTTATCAGAGAGCAAGTTATGGCCTCTCCTCAAGTAGCCAAGTGCTCCCCCATTACAATCTGGCTAGGCTCCTGGCACCTGGTAGCCCTGAAGGGAGCCCCCTGAGCCTGCCACCCCATGGGTGGTCCTGCTCTGAATTCCTAGAAGTAAATGCCCTTGGGGGTGCCTGCTGATCTGAGCTGGCACCCTTACGGTGGGAAGAGGAGAGATGGAGGTGGTGGAGAAGGTCCAGCATCCTGTCCTTACCAGCTTACCCCCCTCATACACACCCTTCCTGACTTTGGAGTCCTTTGCACTCTGCTAGTGTCATCATGTGTCCTCAGATGGCCAACGAGGGGAGAGAGGCCAAGCTTCACCATATAAGCCTCCTCCCCCCACTGGGGATAGTAATTGGGGGAAAGATGACAGGGAAGAAGTGAGAGGGCAAGAAAAGGCTGGACCTGAGTGGTGGCAGGGAGACAGGCTGGGAAGCAAGCCCTGAAGCCTTCTGATGGACCCACCTTTTTGCTCATCACGCTTGAATTTAGCTCATTTAATCCCATAAAAAAACCATTTTAGAGGTGAGAAAAAGGTTAGAGGTCAGGGCTCTTGGTGGAAACCAGCCCATCCAGACTGGCCCAGCTGGCATCTTAAGAGACGGGGAGGCAGGAGGAGGTCAGACCCCTGCCTGTTCCCCAGGGGTCCAGCATGGTCTGTCCCAGATTTTGCACAATCTCAGATCCAATTTTACAGGGAAACGTGGTGGCAGGGTCAGGCAGTGAGGCAGTCCCCTGTTATTAACCCCATTTAATTTCCACGAGATCCCTGGGAGGAGTGCTTTTGTCACCATTTTGCATCCCCAAAGTTGCCCTGGGGGAGTGTGAGAACTGCTGTGCATCTCGAGAGTTCTTATCAAAGTCCAGACCGTTCTCCTGAGCTGGACCATTAGTCATTGGCCATGGCAAATCCTGCTCCCAGGCCCACAGGAAGTAGCAAACCCCTGTCTCCTTTAGGTCTCAATTCAGGTGTCCCTTCATCTGAGAGGGGTGGCTCTACCTCACAGGGACTGCTACTCCCCTTCACTAGAGAATCATCTTATTTTTGTGGCCCCATATTTATGGTCTGTGACCTGTACCTGGCAAGACAGCAAGGCATAGCAGGCACTCAAGAGCTGTTTGTTGACTGACTGAGCATCCAGAGAGGAGGGACCATATTTAGACAGTTTCTGGGGCAGGAGGGCCTGGTGGGGTTTAAGCCAAACAGCCAGCTGAGTGTGGCTACCAAGTTTCAGGTATCTCCAAACCCTCGGAGGCAGAGGGGGAAAGGGAATATCCAGCTGACCCCCTCTCCCATGACCTGGCCATCTGGATTCCCACTAGCAGGGAGCCCCCAGCTAATTCCCCTGTTGACACATGTACGGCAAGCAGGACCCCAAACCCCGCATCAGGAGACCACAGGCTAGGCTTGGAACCACAGGTGCTGCCCTGAAGTCAGTGGGTGGGGGCTCCGGGGAAAGCGGGCAGACCACCAATGGTTGATAGTGCCCGGGAGGAACTTAGCCCAGACTTTCTTACACTCCTCCCCTCATTTTTCAAACAAATAAAGCCCTTTGTTAGGTCCAGATAAGGGCCACATACCTAGCACCTCACTTTTTTGGGAGTGTATATGGCTTTACCAGTACCAAATCAATTTTTTGTGTGGGGGTGTGTTAGACATCTTACCTAATTTGGTCTTTGTGTTCAGCCCAAAGTAGATTTTCACGGCCAAGTGAAGGGGGCTTGCCCAGAGCAGTTTCTGGTGAAAGAGGTGCCAGAGCCCTCAGCCTGGGCTGGGCTGTGGGGGCATGGATGCCAGATGGGGTCCGCTCTGCTGCTGCCCCCACCTCCTGCGAAGTCCAGAAGGGGACTTCCGATCAAATATCTGCCATCAGGAAATTAGAGGAAAAATTATATTGATTACAGGAAAAAATACACTCGTGTAAGAAAGAGGCTCTTTTGAAGTATCCAGGTATTTGAATTATACGGAAAACTGTCCCGTGTACCCAATGCACTCTTCCACAAGGTTTTTGGGAGAACCAGGCAGGAAAGTCTGGTCTGGGGTCATTCCCAAAGGTGTAGATCTCCCAAGGTCACCCAGGGCACACGCTGCAAAAAGCCACGCCTGGAAGGCAGGGCTCACTTTCCCCACTGAGAGAGGCAAGGGTGGCTTAACCCAAACTGGGAAAAGGACAGCTACCAGTGTGCATTTATTATTAAAAATCAGAATTTCTGGGTCTTTATTATTTCTACATTAAAGCCCCAGGACTTACACATTTTGGTTCTTTCCATTTCTGGTTAAATGGGGGTAGACGCGGTACTGCCAGGCCAGCTGGGTGGATGTCGCGGCAGAAGGACCTGCATGGAGCTTGCTACTCTGGTCGCCATGGGCACCCTTGGGAGTGGGCGTGGGGCGCCCGGTTATTCCCTGGGGCTAGAGACACCTCTGTTCACGTGGTGGAGCCTGAGGGGCTGCGGTCATATTCCGGGGACTGGGATGTGGATATTAGCCACTTCCCAACGGGCAGAGCAGGATCAGCTCCGAACTCCTAGAGCCCAGGAAGAGAAATGAAAGGTCACGCATTTTTAGTTGCCGAACAGAGTTTTCTGGGAAGTTTGCGGGGACCCTGGTCCCTCAGGTGTTCTGGGTCCGGGCGGCCCTGCTGCGCTAGGGGTGCGTTTTCTACCTCCTGGAATCAAGGTCTGCAGAAGCCGCGGTGCCCCCGAAGACCGCAGGGACTGTGGGGAGACCCGGAGTGCCTTCGCAGCTGCTCTGGCAGCCCGCTCAACGCCGTCCGCCTGGCGGGACTTTACGATCCTGGGATTGGTCCCCAAATTCTCCCTGTCTGAGCGAGGTTCCCTGCCCGGCGCGTCCCGCTCTGGCCTCTGACCCCGCGCTTGGGGCGCGCAGCGGGCGGGAGCGGGTCGGGCCTGGAGTTCTGGGCGCGGGCGAGGGGGACGCGCCGGCGCGGCTGGAGCTCAGCCCTCAGGGGTCACAGCTGGGGGTGGACGGCGCGCTAGCGGGCCTGGAGCCCGAGGGCAGCCTCCCCGAAGCAGTGGAACGGGCTCAGGCGCAGACAGCTGCCGCCGCGCGCGGGGCCGTGGTGTTAACTGCGCCTCTGCGCGGAGTGGCCAGCGGTGTGACTGCCGTTGTGCGTGGGCAGAGCCCCACTCCTCGGCGTGAGGGGGTCCGCAGGCCTCCTCCCACTTGTGCAAGGAGGGAAGCGGAGCGCTGCTCTTGGCCTGCCGCGGCCCGCGCCTTCCCCTTGGAGTTGGGGAAGTTGGGTGCTGCGGCCCAGGTCCCCAGCAAGACTGGAGGGGGCGACTGGGGGTTCTCCAGCTGGAGCTCAACGCGTCGACCTCACCGGCTTTCCTCCTTCCTCCTGAACAGGCACAGGAAAGCCCGGCGTCTCCGGGGTCACAGCCCCTGAGCCCCCGAGCTGGGCAGGGCGGCCTTTCCCCTGTTGCGTTTTCTGCAACACTTGTGGCTTTTGGGGAGGTGGTGGGGAGGGGCGGGAGGCTTGGGTCGGGGGGTGGGGGTGGAGGGAGTTAAGCGGAGGAGCTGGAGGACCCCAGATACGTAACAGCAGACACAACCTAGTTACCCTCGAGTATATCCGGGGCCCACCTGCCGCTGCCGCGTTTGGAGTTTGCCCTCGGGGTGCAGCCATGTAAACCCTTCCCAGGCTGGAGCGCTTGGATTGGAAGCGGGACGGCGCTCCCAGGACGCCGGCAAGGGCTGGGGAGCCCGAGGGATTACGTGAGGTTGAAAAGGATTTTTGTTTTAAAGCTGGAAAAGCTGCCTTCTGGACGGCAAGGGCTTTTCGTCTTGGGGAAAATTTCGTGTGAGTTTCTCGGTATTTGAGAAAATGCGTAGTTGCCGGCGACGCGGGGAAGGGAGGGTCAAATCGATATCCCCGTTTGGATAGAAGAATGGCTGGTTTCAAAGCAGATTAGATTACTTTGTGGCATTTCAAGTAAAACTGCAATTTCAGAGCCCTGAGCACGTGGGTGACCAACGGGAGCTCTGGGCCTGACGGCCTTAGTGCGCGCCCGGGCGCTGGGACCCAAGGCCCGCCGGGAACTTCTCCTCTGGTCTTTTTCTTTTTAACCGAGGGCGAAGGGACGATAGCGAGGCTGCAGACGGCGTCCCGCGGGGCCCGGGAGGTGGCAGGGGGGGCGGCCGGGGCAGGGAGTGCAGAAGTCCCGCGCGCCCTGCTCTGCGCCCGGGCCTCTGGCTGGGCGCTGCCGTTTACTGGTTTGCTTTATTCCCCCCGACCAGGTTTAGGAGACGCGTGGGGACAGCCGAGCCGGGCCGGGCCCCTGGACAGCGTCGCCAAGGAGCTGGGATCGCACTTGCTGCAGGTAGAGCCGCCGCGCCCCCGGGAGGAGCGCGCCGCGGTTAGTGGCCCTGGCCCGCGCCGGGTGGGGGCGGCTTTCTGACCCCACCACCCGGAGTCGAGATGCCTTTTCCCAGCGAACCCCGGTGTCACACCCAGAAGGCCGCCGTCCGGCTGCAGAGGTCACCCCGAGGCGAGAGCAGCGCCTGTCCTCGGGCAAGCGGCTCCCTCGAGCCTCTCTGAAGTCCGGACTTGAGCGGACTCATCTCACCCGGAGCAGCCTCACCCCAGCCACACCCCTACTACCCGCCCTGCGCAGTCGCCCATCCCCAGGACACTAGCCCACAAAACCCAGGCCGAAGGAAGGCTCTGGATGTGGTTACGCCCTTTCCAACCTGACTTCCCTCAGCAAATTTTTATGGAGGACTATCTTTGTGCCAGATGCTGTGCCAGGCGTTGGAGCCAGAGAAGGAATGATTCTGACGCCCTTGGCCCCTGTGCGGCCGCCCTAAAGCGTTTGACAATTGTCTGTGTTTGCAGGTGTTGCAATAAAGGAAAAACAGCATTAATAATAGGATATTAATAATTGGCATTTATCGAACGTTTACTACGGGCTAGATTCTGTTCTAAATCTTACTGTAGCAACTCACATCACCACCCAGAGTTCTATTTATGCCTTCATTTTTTCAGAGGAAGTGAGGCACAGAGAGGTTAAGCAACATGCCTGAGGTCACACAGCAAGTAGTGGAGCTGGGTTCAACCCAAGTGGTCCAGCTCTTGAGTGGTCCAGCTCAGGACTTGGTGCGGCCTCCGGGGTCCCCTGGCCCACGGAGGGGAAGCCCTTGTTTGGTTTGTAGTGAGCCGCTTAGCGCCCAGCACTGAGCAATTCAGACCGCGGTTCCTGAACTGTCCCTGACCTCGGATTTCCCCCCCGCAGTGTCTGGGACGCAGGCCGGGTAACCGTGCGCGCGACTTGGCCATTTCCAGGACGGCTGGCGCTTAGGTGGGGACAACAACGCCTCGTGTCTCAGAATTTCAAATACCCCTTACAGCGCCTTATCAACGACCCGATTCATTCCCCTCTCCCGTCATTTGTCTCTGCCATCGAAAAATGCCTACCGAGGGTTATTTTGCATTTCCTCCTTCCACTTCGTGTTTTCTTTAAAAGAAAAAAAGTTGGCGGCGGGACGCAGTGACTTGGGTCAGCGAGTCAGCCACGAGCTGCACATTTCGAAAAAGCAGATTTTTTCAAAACCTTTTGCCCCAGGTGTCCTAGTGTGATTTACTTTTTTTAAATGGGTGCTCTGGGGAAGAGAAGATCCCGGGAATAGTTAAAATCTGAAGCTTTTACAACACGAATCGAACGGTGTGGCAGCTCGGCCGGGTAAAGGCGCTCTCGGAGCCCTTCCCGCGCGCCCTGCGCTCTCCGCCGGGGCTCGCTTCCAGCTCCTTGTGCGGTATTTTGCATGTTTGATACTCCTACATAGTATAAGTGACACTAATATCAGGGACAATTAAGTGCTGGGCAAAAACCTGGCAGGCAAAGTCAATACTGGCAGGTTCCTCCACTGTATGTTTCTTTAATTCCGGAGGGACGTGTGGATGTGCGTCTTTGCAGTTAATATACGTGCAAGCAAATTAGGTAATTTGAAGCTATAAAGGCATACTCAACATTTCCATTAAGAATATAATTTTTTTAGCTACTGCCGGCAACTTACAGAATTTAAATATGATCATTTTTTCTCTTTTCCTCATTGACTAAGGTATCAGATACTCTCATTAAATGTATCTCTTTAATTATTTTGAAATTAAGCAAGAATGCAAAATGTGCCAAACACGAGAAATCACCACACAGTTTACATTTTTGAAACGAAGTTTAGTTGGTAACATAGTTTGTTGCTCAGCTAGAAATGTGAAAGTAAGGCTTCTAATCAAGATGTTGATTTGAACCTAAGCATATCAAAAGGTAATGATAATTTAGTTGGCAAAGAATTTTTGTTGCAAAACTGCATTGGAGCCGGTAGAGTGTAAGGCTATCTTTCAAGTTTCACTTCTATTACATTCTTTTTAGGACCCCCTCCAAAGAAGGGTTAGATTTAGAAAACCCAAAGGTAATCTGGTTTCAATTACATGCTGTAAAAATAGAATTTGTGGCCAGAAATTAATTTGGAATATTTTTTTTATGGGGGCAGCATTTGGGGTTGTATGGATCTTTCACCAACTATATTGCTTTTCTTTCGTTCTGGACCTGAAATATGAATGGGTAAATAAAACCAGTTTCCTTTTTCAAAAATAATTTAGTCTTTTTATCCTTGCCACACATAAATATAATCCTTAACTTTTTTATTTGTCTTAATGACCTCTTATATTTTTATTTTTTTGAGGGCTAGCCAACTTAGGCACAATCAAAATATCATTATAGGTAGTTTTTGTTTTGCAGTTTTCATTTCTCCTTGAATTTTGCAAAGGCATTTGATCTCTTGCAAATTCTAAACAGTTATGTAGAGATAGTCTGTTAAAGTTACTAGGTGTTTTCCTTTATTTTATGGGGAGTGGTAGTGTTTGGAATTTATTATTCAAATGGTACTTAGAGGTAACTAGAAAATTGTGGCAAATAAAGCCTATGTCCTAGTGGTATAAACGACTGCCAATTATGACATAAAATGGTCTATATAGTGGTAGATTTTCCCCTAAGTACCATAGAACTCCGGATTTGTGTTAAGTGTTAAATATAAAGTGCTAAAATAACCCCAAACAATAAAGCTACTACATCTAAACTGAGCATGACAAGAATTCTCAAACATTTTGCATGATTTTTGTGCTGTGTATGTAAAGTTGTTTTTAAAAGTGCTTTAAAAGCATTTGAGAACCAGGACCGGGAACTAAATCTTGAGTGCTATAAACTACAATCCTCCTTCTTGCCCTGGGCTCCATTTTTTGCATTTAACAGGGGTATGTGTTGATGATAATATTTTATACATTCTTCCCCTCCAGTGATAGTACAATTATTAGGTTTAACTCTAATGTACAACCGTCACTTCTCACCCTGACACTTTTTCTCTTACAGACTTTGGATGGATTTGTTTTTGTGGTAGCATCTGATGGCAAAATCATGTATATATCGGAAACAGCCTCTGTACATTTGGGCTTGTCCCAGGTAGGTATTACCTAATTTTATGTACAGCCAAAATTTTAAATTATGTGTTGGCAGATCTTGACAGTCTTACTCAACTTGAAAATGATCCTAAATTAAGCGCCTGCTTTTGTGTATGAGCATAATTCAAAAGTGCAAAATCATCTTAGGCTACCCTGCAGGGCTTTTCTTTTCTGTGTTACATTTCACTTTTTTATTTTCTTTTTCCTTTGGGATTAATGACCAGTATAGCTTTGCAACCGTCAGCCCTGTTCTGAGATTCTGTTGGATAGCCTGGACTCGGTTTCTGCAGTAACACTCTGCCACCAACAAGAGCTTCACAAAGAGAGACTTTTCAGTCCACCCTTGATGGTCTGCATGTGGCATTATGAGTTGCTATGAAAGTTAGAGGAAAACCGATGTAGAACATAGGTTTTATGCAGAATGAGCTTTGGGGAGTAAAAAGGGGGGTAGATTTATGATTGTTCACATGGAATTCAGGGTAAATTTTCCTGAGTTTTTCCAGTTCAGTGGTCGTTTCAGTAAAGCATTTTATATGCTTGTGATAGAAACTCATAAAACTCGGTTTACTACTGTTTTGCACAGCAAGATCCTGGTTTCTTTAGAGCATTTAAATACTACCCATTTTTCTGAAACCAGCTTCTAAAAAGGCGCTCATCCCTTAGAGGAAAGAGGTGCACTTAGTTTTATCTATGCCGGTCAAGCTAAGGGTTTGGTGAGGAATTTGGCTGCTGTCTGGGCTGTTCCGATGGGGGGAGTCTAACCAATTGTTGCCACTTACATTTCAGATTTAACAAGCATGGATCAGGGTTCTGAAACTCACATTTTTAATACATATAGGGACTAAATGTTTCTTTACATTGTGAATTAGCACAGTGTTTTTTTTTTAATCACAACTGAAGACACACTAGAATTAATTAGATACAGGAAATGGGCTCCCAGAAGGCACATGAATAATTAGTATTGCGCCAGCCTCCTTGTGCAGTTAAACCAAAATAAAACATGCCAATTACAGTGGCTTGGTTTCCCACTGAAAAACAAAATTACCACTTTGGAAACTTGCATCTGGTGTATTCCTTTTCTTTTTCTGCCAGTACAGTTTTTAAACTTGCCATTTGTTTACAGCTTTTCTTCCCATGTTTATATATCCTTATCCATGTCCAAGTAGGTTTTTGTGCCTATGTGTTTCTTATGCAAAGTCCTGTAAAGTTAATCTCGTATTAAAGTTGTTTGGTGTTTTCTTTTTCTCTTCTTTTCTTTCATGACACCAGCTCCCCAATATAAGATTTACTAAGGCTTGGCTCTTACACCTAAGTGACTCATGGGATTGGTGCACTTGAAGAATGGGAAATACTGCTGGGAACATGAAATTTGCTATTTTTATATTTTCCAAGGCTATTATTCTCTGAATTTCCATCTTGCCCTATTTAGAATTATTTAAGCCCCTTTAGTTATACCCAGCTTGGTTTCTACTCCTGACTTGATCTGTGGTTGAGTGACCTTGATCGGATTACTTAACTTTTTCAATAAAATTTATAAAATCTTTGATTAGTTTTACAATAATGTCACAAACAAGACAAAGCATTTCACAATCTTTAAAAATGACTGGTCAAACATATTTCAAAATGAAGCCACTGCTATTGAATATTAAATATCTGAGATCCCTAGCAGTCAAAGCAAAAAAGGGAATGCATTCAGGTATATGATTTTCATTGTCTGATACAGCAGGTATGGTAAGAAAATAATGCCTCTCTACCCCTCTCTCAGACGGACTGGTAAGAAACATATAAAATGTCCATTTTATGTGATTTATAAACTACAGGGAGCCAGGCATCACCATAATTTCATTATAATTGTACTTCAAATAACACAAAAGTGGCTTCATATAGCATCCCACATATTAGGGCTGCCTCAGTCATTTGGGATGTTGTGGTACATCAGAAGGCATGTGCACGTACCAGGACATTGCAGTTCATTCTCTCAGTCTGTTAGATGTAGCATCCTACAATTCTTTCTCAATCATTTTTCTCATTTTATGTGGAGAATAAAATTGCTTATGAAGACAATAATTAAGAACAACCAAATTGGATATTTGGGTAGGTGACAAATATTCCTGCTGTTTGTGATTAACTCCACAGAAGGAGATCTAAGCAGAATCACAACTAAAATGATATTTCTTTTTGGTCATAATGCAGAAATAAATGTTGTATCATGATTTTGAAAGGGGAGGGAGTTACACGCCACTGTTTGTCAACGTTATTGAGATACCTTTTGTCTCTATGTGGCCAGAAGAAGTGTCAGTTTAAAGAAAAGTCAACCTGACTGATTTTTTGCTGATCTCTTGGCAGGACAGTCTTAGCATCAGTCTCCAGCTACAAAAACACTTTAATGCAGACGTGAGCCCTCGTTAGCGTCTAGGGAGTTTTCCATGTTGAACTGTTTAAATAGCAATAGCAAACGTTTCCCTCGAACCTACCTCCTGTTCACCATTAACTCTGTAGAAGGGACTCTATGCAGAATCACAGTGTGTATTTTTTTTTGTCTTCTTTACTTAAATAGTAAAATGGAGTATTGAATAGTATGTCAAATACCCAACTTCTCTTTTTAAGAAAAATTTTCTCCACCTTTCAGATTATTTTTATTAGAAGTGAAAAGTCAGGCAAACATATCAAACATGAAAGCTCTATTAACATAGGCTTAAGGATTTTTTAAAAAAATCACCAGAGATAAAAACATTAATAAAATTTTACCCAGTAGTAGTAGAGTAACCTTTTAAACAGGTTTTCTGATGAGTAACGTAGTAGCAAGGGCCTTTATTTACAACAGCGCTCTTCTGGGTTCCAAGAACTTTTAGTTATTATCAGTGGCATTAACTCTTTAAGAAACAGCATCTTTCATGTTAATTTGAGGTTAAATTCTATGTTGGCAGCTCGTAGGTTTGCCTCAGTTGTGCGATAATTCACAGCAAAGTGGTGTTTTTTTTAAAGAGCGACACTATGCAAATAACTCTCTGAACTGTCTCAGTATAGAAATGATTCTTTCTGTGGTATAAATCCATCCCAGTTCAAAGCCTTTTACCGGACTTCTTCTGTTTAACAAGCATTGGAATAAGAAATCTACTTATATGGCAGAGTTTACTAGTTTATTTTTGCTTTTAAATTAGTAAACACAGCAATCCTTGCTGCAGGATTTTTGTACCAAGAAGTGACAAATAACCAATCACAAAATGCAAGTTGTCTTCTCAGCCCATGATCCAAATGTTGGGAAAAAGAGTTAAGCTTCTGGCTTGAAAATTCTGTTTGGTGTATGCACACATAAATAATACATAATAATTCGTATAGTCATAATGATATCTATTTGGAAGAGGTACAGCTGGGGAGGCATATCCACACAAGTTTGTTAAATGACTTAGTTCCACAGTTTGTTAGTGTAGTTAACTTATTTGCATTTGAAGGATAACAGCTTTGTGTATCTGCTGTGTATTTCCTCAATTTTCAGTATCCAGTGGCTTGAATTTCCTTACGAAGTTGGATATATTATATAGCATCTTCATAACTAGTATGCATTTTCAAATAAATACAGATAGGTATGAAATAGCCATTTATGAGATGCATAAAGGAAAATGCAGTATTTGAGATTGCAGCTGGAAACACAGCCATAAAAACAGCCCTGGCATTGTTTGGGGCCATAAGACCTAATCCTTTCACTTTTGAAATAAAGAGAAAGGGCAGCGTTTTATGTTTGTTGACATAGCTTGAACCCTGAAACCCAAACCATCTTATTTTAAAATGGTTAATTTACCATAGTCAGCAAAACACCCAAAGTGGAGTGATGTGCATTTTCAGAGTACTGGGTGACTTTCCCCTTCCGACCCAGAATATATCCATTTAGTGCTGTATTTGTCATATGTAGTTTTCTTGGCAGGAAGAAAAGCTATTCAGCAAAACATAAAAAAGCTCTTAGTAGGAAAGCAATTCATTCTGTAGTTAGCAGGGTTTTACAAATACTAAAATATTGCATTGAGGGTCTGTTTTAATACGGCTGATGTATGAGACCTGAAGAGTTTTATAGCAACAACCATAAATTTTTTTTTTTTTTGTGAGGTAGTCACATTTCTCTCAACATTCAAAAGCACGAATAGATATGTAAATACAGGAAACACCATGTCAACCATAATTTTAAGTCAAGGTCAGCATTGTTTTATCATTCCCAAATTTGTTCTTTAGAAACATTTCCGTTATTTGAAGACTGTTTTACTTCCTAGACAGCCTTAGAGTTTTAAATTGCCCCAAGTATTCTGAAAATCATGGTTTAATTCATGGCCCTTTACTCTTCTCATTCTCCCAACACTTGTAATGAGAATGGGATCTTTAAAAACAGATGAAGCTACTTTGGTATTAAAACGCACATCAACTCCGTACAAGCACAGATGCCAGCCTTTTTGCAAACAAACAAAGATGTTTCTCTAAAGAGACACTAGTTACTTTGTTCTAAACCAGAACTTGGGGTAAAAATGAATGCTTGATAATGCTTGATAATATCTTGATCTAGATGGTGGTTGCCTGAATGTATACACATTAAATGTGCATCAAGCTGCACACTTATGATTTGTGCATTTTATTGTATGTACCTCATTTTTTTTTAATTAAAAAAGAACTTGGGGTAAAAATGAATGCTTGATAATGCTTGATAATATCTTGATCTAGATGGTGGTTGCCTGAATGTATACACATTAAATGTGCATCAAGCTGCACACTTATGATTTGTGCATTTTATTGTATGTACCTCATTTTTTTTTAATTAAAAAAAAAGAACTTGGAGCAAACCAGAAGTATCATTTCCCCCTAAAAACAAGGGTATGGGAGAAATGATAGGCCAACACACACACACACACACACACACACACACACACACACACACACACACACACAAACCAACCCTCTATTTTGTTAGGTTTTCATTTTTAGAATAAGCTTTTGAAAATGTGAATCAATTCTTTTTTTAAGCCCTTTCTTTATTAGCTGCTATCACTCCCCTTCTGATAGAACTTTGCAAGGAGCCCCTGTCGCTGCCCTCAGGGACAGGGAGGTTGTCCCCACCCAAATGTCTGACTTGAGTGTTGCTGGTTTATTTAAACTCTTTAAGGATTAACGGGAATAACTTGAAGAATGTTTCATTTTTATTCTTTATTTTTTAAAATAAAATCGTGTAATGACTTATTTCATAGGCAAATATCTATTTGGGCCGTTAGGAAAAGTGCCAGATTTGGGAGCGGGGTGTTACATAGGGAGGTAGGCAGGGTTTCTGGAACAGGATTCTCTTCCATGCTCTTCTTGCATAATACTGGGAGGAAACCTTCCATGAATAATGCAGAAAATAGAACTGTGAAAGCTGTTTTAGGGACAAGATTACTTAGCAGGCCAGAAATGTAATTTGTTCTGGTTAAAAAGGGCAACTCACATGTCTTAACAAAGTAGAGGAACTGGCTCTGAGGAGTAGGTAAATTTCTTCACCTCTTCCTGGCCCCTGGGTCCCAAGTAAAGGGTGGATGGTCTTGATGTTAATTTGAAACAGTGGCTCCCAGGAGAAATTCTCCATTAAACCGCCTGGCTGGGCTTGTTCTGCTGTGTGAGATACAGTCAAGGCTGCCGCTTTGCAGAAGGTCCAGTTGTCTCTGCTCTGCTTGAGAGCAGGACACCTCCCGAGGAAGCACGTGGCACAACACACATAAAAATAATGAGGGGTGGTTAGGGACAAGGCATTCACAAGCCTGCCTTTGCTCTTTCCTCTTGCCCTCCCCTTGGGGCAGGGCTGAGGAAGAGAACTTCAGAACCCCCCAAGGTTGTTTTCCACCCAAGGGCATTTTCTCAGTCCTGTGTGTTTCTTCCCACCTGGGCTTTGGGGTGTTTCCTAGCTGTGGTGGGAGTACCAGCACTGCCCTGAGGGCCTCTGATCTCCTGTCCACACTATTGATCTCTAAAATAGGATCCCCATCCCCCACTGCTAGAAGACTGCCGTGATGTGGTAGTTTCTGGAACATTCTATACCACTGCCCATCTTAAGATGGGTGAGGGGGTCCAGTTCTTGAGTATCACTGTTATCCTCTACCATGCACTCGTGTTTGGAGAACAACAGAAAGTTCTCAAGTGAGGCACCGAATCACTGGGGGCCTCTATGTGAAGATCATAATAACAGTGTTTTCCTAGGGCCCCCTGACCCCACAGAGCTGGTCCTGTCTGATGTGCACAGGGCCTGCAGGCCTGCTGTGGTGTCCTCTGTGGGGCATGTCTGGAAGGAGGCGGTAGCAACCTCAGGAAATGACCGCCACAAAACATGGCTATCTGGAGTGGGCCCACACCTTCCTGCAGGTCACACAGCCATGGCAGCCACACCTGTCGGGGGAGCCACAGGGTTAACACAGTTATCCTGGACGAGGGAGTCCAGAGACATGCTTCTGGTAGCATGAAGGGAGCTGGGCAGTGTCTGGGGACACAACTCAGAGCTGGTGGAGAAAGAAAGGGCCTTTGTCATGGTGAGTTCCTCCTCCAGCCCAGCAGAGCCCCCTCGGTCCTGCCACTCAGTCTCCGTGGACGACGTTGTCCCAGGGACCACGCTCGACATACCAGCTGGTCTCCCAGCTGACCAGTTCTCTCAGGATGAGGTCCCGGCTCCTGAAGGTTTAAGTGGGGTCACCTGCCTCCACAGCAGGCCATATTCCTCCTTCACTCCCGGTTCCTTCTGCTCTGGACTCACCTGGCTTCCAGCTCAAGCCTCCACTCTCTGTCCTTGCCGGAAGGTGTGGGTGACGGTTCAGGGCACTGCTTAAGGAAAGACAGATGTTTCCAGGTGTGTAAACAGAGGTCACTGTCCTGTCCCGGGTGTGTGCATGACTGTGGCCCGCCTCGCCCGCTTTCTGCTCCCAGGCAATCGGGAGGGGATTCCTGACTTTTTCTTTCCCTCCCACGGCAGGTGGAGCTCACGGGCAACAGTATTTATGAGTACATCCATCCCTCTGACCACGACGAGATGACGGCTGTCCTCGCGGCCCACCAGCCTCTTCATCACCACCTGCTCCAAGGTATTTCCTCCAGATGAAAAGAAACCAGAACGAAAACAAGATGATGTTCTGTGGTGTGACCTGAGGGCTTTGCTTCCAGTGCTGCCAAGGGGCAGGGTGACTTGGGCTGCTCAGCCAGGGCCTGAGCGAGGGCTGCAGACATGCGGTAGGGCGGATTCGCTTTTATACCTCTGCCCTTTACAGCAGCACTGCGGATCCTCTTTCCTGTGCCTGACACCGTGATGGGTGCTGGGTAGGCGCAAAAGAAGTGGTCAGAGGCTTCGCTCCTAATGTGCTCTTGGTTTAGGATTCCAGCAACACAAGCTGGGCTTCTTAATCAAAGGGTCAGAGGCTAGGACTCAGGGGAAAATGGCATCTTTACTCTAGTTGTAATTAGTATTTCCTTTGACTCTAGATTGCAGACACGCACCATCTTGCTATCACGAGTACTTGTGGTTTTACCAACAACAAAAATCACAGACATTCTCATTTTATATTATAGTTATTGCAGGTATTTAAACATATCGTTTATGCTTATTGCTACTTTGAAATTTCAGGAGTTAGGAGACCTGCTACTGGATCTTGTTATTTAATGTGTTAATAAAACAGCACATTTATAACCATTTCACTACTTGTTTTAATATTTTGATTACTGCTTTTCAACATAGTTGGTTCCGTTTGCAATCTCATGTATTTTACTTCATGCATTTGGAAACGTTATTCCAAGTTGGGATCTGTAGGTTTGTGCCATGGCACAAATCTGCTAAGGAGCCCAGGTCTGCACAAAAGCAGGTCCATTTTGCTGGCCCGGCTCCATGTGGGGACAAGATCCTCCTCCAGACAGTTTCTCACTGAGCATGTACTGACTGGGGCCCTGCTGTGGTAAGCCCTCTGTTAGGACAGACGTGGCATGACTGTTCAGTGGAAGATGTGAGCCCACTGTTACACGGATGACTCCTTAAATTACAATTACGATGTGTGCTAGCAAGACACAGAACTTATTCCAGGATCCTGGCCTTGTGACTCCCTCTGATGGTCCAGTGAGACCAACCAGCATGTTGACCAATGGGTCTCTTGTCTGCTTTGAACTGTTTTGGCCCCCAGTGTGTCCAAATCTCCCCCGTGGAACAAAATGCAAAAGAGGAAACATCAGGAGTGATGAGAATGGGGTGGCCAGCCAGAGACAAAATTGCATTCCACTCTTACTGCTTCATCCTGGAAAGGGTCCTTGTAAGGCTGGAGGAGAGAGCACAGAATAGCACACTCAGGTTAGAACCACCTGCAGAGACAGCTCTGTGGGCCCTGCATTCTAGCTCCAGAAATAGTTGCCATAAGTCTGATTGTTCCTCAACACAGAGAGACTGGTACCCTGCTTTCTGAGATGAGACGGGGGCTTCTGACGGTCTGATTCCTAAGGCCTTGGAGGTGGTCTGGCTGCCTAAATGAACATGAGTAAGACTCTGGAGAAGCAATTTCTTAAAAATTAAGGCTAGGAAAGAACGCTGCACCTAATAAATTTCTTTCACTATAGGGTTGTTTGAAGGTGGACAAAGACAGAGAGAGTCTTAGAAAATTCCTCAGAGCATTGTGATGTTACTGTTTTAAAACACTCCGCACTGTGTCAGTTCCCTGGGAATGGGCTTCCTCCTGTTAGCGCATTTTATCCTCCCTGTCATGTCCTTAAAAAAAATGTTTAGAAAATGGCAGCAAATAAATCTTGAGACCCTTCCAATCTGATTTCAGTGAGGCTCAAGGCTGTGGTGTAGTGACAGTGCCAGGGAAGCAAAAAGTCTCGGGGGAGGTGGCGGGCTGCCACGGACTCATTCCCACCCGAGGTGCAGGGTTCGAGGTTTGCCATTGCTCCGTTTCCTCCTGACATCTCATCCGCCCGGGTTGGTCTTCTGTGTCTGAGCTCGCCTCAGGGTCATGACAGTTGTGTGAGAAGTGGGCTCTCCCCAAAACTGGACAGTTTATTAGAGCTGAGCATCCACACCTCAGTGCTTAGCTGGAAATGGTGCAGGCAGGCAGCCATGCAGGAGGGGAGACGTGGGTCTGCAGCCTCCAGCCTGCTGCAGAGGAATTGTGGCTAAACATGGCAGGCCCTCCAGCTAGGGGAAGAGGGCGCCTCTGAGACCATGCCCTGGCTTCCTCCAAGGCGGTTCCCTCGGGGGTACGGAAAGCCTCGCCTCCATTCCTAGTGGTAAACTTTCTTTAAAAATTAATTTATTAACACCACCAAATGGATGTTTATTCAGGGAGGAGTGACCTTGGGTCACCCAGGGGTGTGGACACTCCTCTCTTGTGCCTCAGGACTGGTGTCTGCTCCCTAAAGTGGAGGGTGTTTCCTTAGGGGATTATTTGCGTTTGTAATAGTGAGGTCAGAGACCAGAGTGTGAGGCCATTGGGCCAGCCAAAGTGAGTTGGGGGGCAAGAGCCCTCAGGGACGAGGGGGTCTGTCCAGGGCTATAAAGGAGGGCAAATGCTTCGACCTGACCGAGGGGTATGCTGGGCTCTGCTCTCCATTCCATGTCTCTGGGTAGCCTTGGTGCCCACACACAGCTGGCAGGGTGGCCTGGGAGGGCTCCCTCTGCCAGGAAAAGGGACTTCACTCATGAGCTTGACTGCTACTACCCTTAGGGAAGTCAGAAGCTTCTGGGCCTGGCTGGCAGGCTTGGGGCACCTGCCCCAGGACTGTCGGAGGAGACTCTCCTGGCACCAGGCCTCTCTGTGGGGACCATGGGCAGGGGGAGCTGGGCTGGGCCCACTGCATGTGCTCCTCACTGTGGCCCTAGGCTGGCACTTCCCAGGTTCTTACAATGGCCGTGTTACCACCCCAGTCAGGTCCCAGCCCCGGGCGGAAGCTCTCTGGGTCAGGGTCTGGGCACACTGGAATGAGGCCCCTGGCTCTCTGATCAGGGTTTGTTGATATAGCGGGTTTTTTGACAAATCATCCTGGGACAGGTGGCCAATCTAACCTCACTCCTGCTTGCAGAGTATGAGATAGAGAGGTCATTCTTTCTTCGGATGAAGTGTGTCTTGGCGAAAAGAAATGCGGGCCTGACATGCAGCGGATACAAGGTAGGCGGAGCCTCGAGGGGGGAGGAGGGATGCAGGCCAAGGTGGTGGGTCTTCACTGCTCCATTTCGTTTCGTCCTTGCGAACAGCTGCAGACAGGAAGGCACAGAGACCCAACCTTTCCACCTAATGTCACGCTTCATAGTGGCTCTGCTCTTGGCTGCTCAAGGGGCGGGTGTGAGCTGACATCTTACAAGGATATTGTGGGAGGACTGGGCTTCATTATATAAGAATGAGGAATAAATGTGGCTAAGGGTAGAATTTTACATTGGCACCTTCAGGCTCTACTCTGTACGCAGCTCAGGGCCACCAGAGCAGCCGCCCTGGAGTTTACAGAGAATCCATATTCTGGGGCAGGCTCTTAGGGTTGGCAGAGGGTACTGAGAGAGGAACTTAACCTCGGAACCCTCTGCCAGATCCAGGGACAATGATGATGCACTCAGCAGCAATGGCAGAACCATTCTGAGGGGCAGAGTAGAGCTTGGTAGGCAGCATCTCGTCCAGTTAATTTAGTTAAAGGTCATAGCAGCCCTTTTAGGGGAGTATTTTGCCCCATTTTACAATCAAGGGCACAAGCTGAGCACAGAGATGGGGCACAGAAGAGAGAGGGCTCAGAGGACTGGGGCAGGGACGAGGCCACCCGCTCTGGCCAGCTCCAGAATCCGAGTGGATTACCCCAGAGCCCCTGGGCTTCGGCTGCTCCTGGCCATGCAAGGGAAGGGTGGGGAAGCCTGCACTGAGAGCCCCTTCCCTCCCACCCATCCTTGGAGCTCCTCACTCCCCTCCTAGGAAAACGACGTTGCTGTTTGTCCTGCCTCAGGGGAAAGAGATTGCGAGCCCTCTGGGGCTGGAGGTGGATGGGGGCCTTTTTTGCAGGAGTATTTGCGTGTTGGAGAAGGAGGGGACGTGAGGAGGGAGGGGCAGTTTCATGCCTCCATCCTACCTTTGTCCTCTCTTTCTGGAATGCTTCTCCCCACCCCACCCCATCCTGGCCTTTGCCTCTCCTCAGCCTCTCCTCAGCCCTACCCTTTGAGCCCTACTCCCGGCTCTTCCCTTTGATTTTACCTCATTTATAGTTTGGGGAATGTGTTTCTAATCTGCTGTCCCGTACTCAGCCTCTTTGGGCTGGGGTGGGGAACCCTTGCACTGTCTTATTATACCCAAGAGACATTCTTCAGGGGACTTGGGTCTTGAGTTGTTTCTGCCACTTATCAACTGTCTAATTTTTTAATTGAAATATAGTTTATATACAATATTATATTGGTTTTAGATGAACTTAGTGATTCATCAATTATATACATTATTAAATGTTCACCATGATAAATATAGTTATCACCTGTCACCATACAAAGTTATTATGATATTAAGAGCTATATTCCATTATACTTGCATCCCCTAGGCTGAATTATTTTATAATTTGAAGTTTGTACCTCTTTACCCCATTCAGCTATTTCACTTGTTCCCCCACCTCCCATGCTAACCAATCATCCATTCTCTATGTTTATCCGTGTTTTGTTTGTTCATTTGTGTAGTTTTTCAGACTCTACATATAAGTGAAACCATGTGGTATTTATCTTTCTCTGACTGAGTTACTTCACTTAGCATAATACCCTCTAGGTGCATCCATGTTATCACAAATGGCAAGATTTCCTTCTTTTTATAGCTGAATACCATTCCATTGTCTGTGTGCTGCACATCTTTATCTGTACATTTATTGATGGACAGTTAGATTGTTTCCTTATCTTGGCTTTTGTAAATAATTCTGCAATAAACATAGGGGTGCATATATCTTTTCAAATTAATGATTTTGTTTTCTTCCAGTAGATTCCCAGAAGTGGAATTGCTGGTTTGTATGGTATTTCTATTTTTCGTTTTTTGAGAAACTTCCATACTGCCTTCCATAGCAGCTGGACCAATATGCAATATCACCAGCAGTGTGCAAGGGTTCCCCTCTTCCCCACATCCTTGCCAACACTTGTTATTTCTGGTACAGTATCTTGTTGATACTAGCCATTCTGACTGGTGTGATGTGATATCTCACTATGGTTTTGATTTGCATTTCCCTGATGATGAGTGATGTTAAGCATCTTTTCATGTGTCTGTTGGACATCTGAATGTCTTATTTGGAAAAATGTCTATTCAGGTCCTCTGCCCATTTTAAAAATCAGATTAGTTTTTTTGGTGTAGAGTTGCATGAGTTCTTTATATATTTTGGATATTAGCCCCTTATCAGATGCATTGTTTGCAGATATGTTCTCCCATACAGCAGGGTGCTTTTTTGTTTTGTTGATGGCTTCCTTTGCTGCACAGGAACTTTTTAGTTTGATGTAGTCCTACTTGTTTATTTTTGCTTTTGTTTCCCTTTCCTGGGGAGACATATCTGGGAAAAAAAAACAATCCAAATTTTGAACTGCTGTATTTTTGTTCTCATTATTCTCCAAGAATTTTTTACTTCTCCTTTGATTACTTTGACAACCCACTGGTTGTTTAGTAGCATGCTCTTTAGCCTCCACATGTTTGACTTGTTTGTGCTTCTTCCATTTTTTTTTTAATTGATTTCCAGCTTCGTCCTCTTTGGTTTGAAAAGATACTTGATATGATTTCAGTCTTCTTAAATTTATTGAGACTTGCTTTGTGGCCTAATGTGATCTGTTCTGGAGAATGTTCCATGTGCACTTGAAGAGAAAGTGTATTCTACTTTTGGGATGTAAAGTTCTGTGTATATCTGTTCATGGATTTAGTGTATATCTAAATAGATTTTGTCTAGTGTGTCATTCAACTCTACTGTTTCCTTATTGATTTTCTGTCTGGATGATCTATCCATTGATGTAAGTAGGGTATTCAAGTCCTCTACCATTATTATTTTACTGCCAATCTCTCCCTTTATGTCTGTTAAAATTTGCCTTATATATTTAGATGCTTCTGTGTTGGGTGTGTAGATAATTACAATTGTTATATCTTCTTGCTGGATTGCTCCCTTAATCATTGTATAATTTCCTTGTGTATCTCCTGTTATAGTCTTTGTTTTAAAGTCTATTTTGTTTGATACAAGTATTGCAACTCCAGCTTTCTTTTCATTCCTATTTGCATGGAATATCTTTTTCCATCCCTTCAGTTTCAGTCTGTGTGTATCTTTAGCTCTAAAGTGAATCTCTTGTAGGCAGCAAAGAGATGGGTCTTGTTTTTTAAATCCATTCAGTCAACCTTATGTCTTTTGATTGGAGCATTTAATCCATTTACATTTAAAGTAAGAATTGATAAGTATAAAGTTATTGCCATTTTGGTAAATGTTTCCTGGTTGTTTCTGTTGCTCCTTTCTGATCCTTCCTGCCTCTCTTGCTTTCCCCTTGTGTGTTATGACTTTCTTTAGTGTTATATTTGTATTCCCTTCTCTTTGTTTTTTGTGTATCCATTATAGGTTTTTGGCTTGTGGTTACTCTGGGGTTCTTATATGACATCCTACATATATATGTATATAGCAATTTGTGATAAATGGACGGTCACCTAAGTTTGAATGCATTCTGACGGCACTACATTTTTTGTTTCCCTTCCTCCACATTTTATGTATATGATGTCTTCTTTCACACCTTTTATATAGTGATTCCCTTATAATTTTTAGATGTAATTGATTATACTACTTTTCTCTTTGTGACCTTAATACTAGCTTTTAAGTGATTGATCTACTACCAGATACATCTTTGCTTTTACCAGTGAATTTTTTGCTTCCATATTTTTTCCCACTTCCATGTATTTTTTTAATTAAGGTATCATTGATATTCACTCTTATGAGGGTTTCACATGAAAAACAATGTGGTTACTACATTAACCATATTATTGAGTTCCCCCATACCCCATTGCAGTCACTGTCAATCAGTATAGTAAGATGCCACAGAGTCACTACTTGTCTTCTCTGTGCTGCACTGTCTTCCACATGATCCCCTGACACCATGTATACTAATCATAATACCCGTCAATCCCCTTCTCCCTCCCTCCCCAATTGCCCTTCCCCACCCATCCCCTTTGGTAACTGCTAGTCCCTTCTTGAAGTCTGTGAGTCTGCTGCTGTTTGTTCCTTCAGTTTTGCTTTGTTGTTATACATCACAAATGAGAGAAACCATCTGATATTTGTCTTTCACTGTCTGACTTATTTCACTGAGAATAATGTCCTCCAGCTCCATCCATGTTTTTGAAAATGGTGGGACTTGTTTCTTTCTTATGGCTGAATAGTATTCCATTGTGTAAATGTACCACCTATTCTTTATCCATTCATCTATTGATGGACACTTAGGTTGCCTCCATATCTTGGCTATTGTAAACAGTGCTGGGATAAACATAGGGGTGCATATGTCTTTTTGAATCTGATAACTTGTATTCTTTGGGTAAATTCCTAGGAGTGGAATTCCCAGGTCAAATGGTATTTCTATTTTTAGTTTTTTGAGGAGTCTCCATATCGCTCTCTTCAAAGGTTGAAATAGCTTACATTCCCACCAGCAGTGTAGGAGGGTTCCCCTTTCTCTACATCCTCACCAGTATTTGTTGTTCTTAGTCTTTTTGATGCTGGCCATCCTAACTGGTGTGTGGTGATATCTCATTGTGGTTTTTATTTGCATTTCCCAGATAATTAGTGATGTGGAGCTTCTTTTCATGTGTCTGTTGGCCATCTGCATTTCTTCTTTGGAGAATTGTCTCTTTATATCCTCCACCCATTGTTTAATCATGTTATTTGCTTTTTGGGTGTTGAGATGTGTGAGTTCTTTATATATTTTGGATGTTAACCCCTTGTCAGATATGTCATTTACAAATATATTCTCCCATACTGTAGGATGCCTTTTTGTTCTAATGATGGTGTCCTTTGCTGTACAGAAGCTTTTTAGTTTGATGTAGTCTCACGTGTTCATTTTTGCTTCTGTTTCCTTTGCTCAAGGAGATGCATTCAGGAAGAAGTTGCTCATGCTTATATTCAGGAGATTTTTGCCTTCTTCTAAGAGTTTTATGGTTTCATG